AAAGGGATGCGTTCAATCTTCTTAGCATCCGTAAAAGATTTCGTGTCATAAGAATAAACTTGAATATATGACAGATCGTCGAATTTCTAAGCAATTTTCAACTTTCTCCTTAAGTCACCATGCATTATTCATAACGAAATATGCATTATGTGCACTTTTAGAGCCATACCTTCTCCCATCGTATGTCCGAGTTTGTATCCCTATTTGGTGAGCCTTGTTTCAATGGCGAGATTGCATCTTCTATCTGCAAGCAAAATTAATTAATTGATTCCATAGACTACTTAAACTTGCCCGGATAGCACTTACCAAAAGTTGTTCCAACGACAAACTTTGAGTGTCTCTCTTCTCAGATCCAACGGAAGCATAAAATCCTAATCGCAAGAAGTAAAAGTTTCTCCATAAAATAATTTCTCGATGCTACCAATGAAGAAAGTCGCCGTTTTACCAGACAAAGTTCCAATCTCTCTAGCAATAGTATCAGCCACGTGCACAGGTGGCTCAAGCCACAAGACGAATTGCACAAGTGCTGAATCAGTAGAACCCTCTTTGGGTTGTAAAAATTTTAGAGTTTGTAATAGTGAAAATGTGATATCGGGCACAACACCGTAGCTGTAAAAGGTTAATTTCGCCGTTAAATTAGGGGTCGGATATAAATAATGATAAAGCTCCCAACCATTGATCGCTAACCTCTGCATTAACTCGAATTCGTCGTCACTTTCATCGATCAAATATTGATTTCTCTCGGAGGGCAAGAACACGTGAGGAGATTTTGATTCTTCCATCATAATCCACAGTCGATGAAAAGGTCGTGCATAGTCACAGTTCTCACCTTGAAATATCGATTTCAACAAAGATAAGATAATGGAAATTTCGTCAAATTTCATAAAATGAGTAGATAACGAATTTCCAAACCTCTTTCCATGATATATTTGACGACGTTCCAATTCGTTTCAATAATACGAGACTTCGGAGCCCAGTAGGCAATAGAAGGACCCACTCGTTCCACGTGAAGCAACGGAATTCCATGACCATCTAGTAAGACCTGAGGAATATCACCTTTTGATGCAGAACTAATCAATAACATACAAATTTAGAATTGTATTCGTACTCATGTTAAAAACAGATATCAGTTTAATCAGCATTCGAATTCAAGAACAAGGTGAACTCACAATTCTTTATCGTATATCAACTTAATGTCATTAGCTATGCATTTGATGCATAGAAAACAGTCGACTGGATCATTATTTTTCGATAGAGTATCCAAGGTTGCCAGTGCTTGAAAATTTTTTTGAAACAATTTAAAATTCCCGAAATCACTTGTACATACAATAAATGAAATTATACGTCGTTAGAAATTCTCACAATATAAAACGATCAGAAGGGAACCTTGACTAACCTTAATTGTTGAGTGAGCAGATTATCAATCTTTTATGTGTGGATAGATATCAATTAAATCGCCCAAATTACTTGATTCACAGGAAAATCACTTGAAAACAGACAGACTCACAAGGTCGTTTTTGTCGTTTTGATGAATTTTGGGCGCATAATTAATTGTGACCTTGACAATTCTGCTAGCAGCCTCATCAAAGTTGATCTTCATTAAATTTAGGAATCGTTTGATTATATGATATTTATTCGACCATGACGAGCAGCGGTCAAGAAGAGACGCTAAAACTTACATCCATTACAATAATGGATTCCCATATTGATAAAGTCGAGGTGCCTCCGGCATCTGTATCGATTCGAAATCGAAATCTAAATCAAGTATAATGTAAAGAATTAAGCATTAAAATAATGATAATCTTCGAAACCAGAGCTTTTTCGATAAACAAATGACCAAATAAGTAAGTTTTTTTTTGACCGAAGAATAATGTCGATTCATTACCCCACTTTCTTGCACACGTCGATTGTCTGTTGAATCACAAATTTGAACGTGTTGTGGCACGCGTCTAAAGCCAAATTCTTGCAAATTTTAATGTTTTCTTGCACCCCGGATAATGAGCTAAGGTGATTCGATTCATCCTTAATGAAGCGTTTTTTGTGCTTTCAGTAAATTCGATCAGTTCCAACAGTACGTTCGACAAACTCTATTATTTACCTTGAGATAACTAAGGTATTTTTTGAACGTCTGTTCGGCTCCGGGGATTTGCGCGACCTCTTGAACCGTGGTATTTCGATAGCGTTCAATTATCGAACGTATCAGGGCTATTTTTTGCGAGAATTCCTTAGAAAGTCCGGCCACATTAATGGGTCCGAGCGGGTGAATATCTTGACGAAAAGAATTTTTCCTTTATTTATCTCATATTTAATCATAGACATCACTTGTGCGCGTAAATTAATAAATACCATTCGCAATTGCAATTGAATCCTGAGGTTTATTACTAGGTTTTCGGACCGGTATGTTCCACTGTTCATGTGCGTTTTTAATCAGGTCACGTAATTCGCGAACCAAAGTGAGGATTTTCTTCGAGTCTATCTCGCTCATTTTCCCAAATGTTTACCCGTTTGAACCAAGGTTTTGACATTATTGGTCGTTTGTCACATGATAAATGTGACTATTCAGTGATCAGCCATCAACTCCCTATCATCATAACTCATTAGAATCGTTATACGTAAACCAAAATAATTCTAAATGGGCAAAGACAAAAAGTCAAAGGACAAAAAAGGTCACAAGAACAATAATAAACATTCACATAAAGAGCGATCTCAGAGCGGTAAATTTTGATTTTTCCTTTTTTAACGACCATATCTTTCTCATTAGTCCTATGTCCAAAAAGATTTCGCACTTTTTTTGTGCACTTTTTTTTTTTCTAAAAAAATTAGTTTAGCCTTACGTACACTTTTCCTTTAAATTAATAATAAGTGATTTAGAGATTTAGATAAGTAAGCAATTGCGACATATTAATTAATCAACTTTTCTCTTTTTCTCACCTCGCTAAAATTAAATTTTCGAAAATAAAAACATTCAATTTTTAAATAGAGGGCTCAACTAGAATTTACTTGTCTCTCAAGAGAGAAACGGACGAAGGTAAAAAGAAAACCAAATCCGCACAAGCGAACGAGGAAGAAAGGAAAGACATAGAAGTGCGTGAAGTCGACGTAGGATCTGTGAACAATAACGATCAGCAGGACGCGGAATTAGATCTTGACGGGCAAGACCTTGAAGATGTTGGTAGCACTCGAGCAAGCTCCTCCCGAAATGAAAAGATGATACTGAAATTAAAATTTAATCCAGAATCGCTCTCGAGCTCTAAAAAGCATAAGCATAAACGTAAACATAAAGAACAACAGGACGAGAGCTCGTACCATTCTCACAAGGTTATCGGAAAACGTGCGGAACGTGATTTTTCAGAAGAACCTGCTGAAAAAGATGCGGATCAATACGACTCGAGTGATAAACATTCGCATGCTCGAAAGAGATCTAAACGCCATAGTTCTGTCATTGTATCCGAAAATGACGAAGTTAATGAAGATAAACAGTCGCACGGTGACTCCACAAAACCGCATGCTCTCGAAAAATCTTTTGCGAATTCATCAATAGGGGCACAACCTGTAGTTATCAAGACTGAGCATAGTCTATCGACCGGGGAAGTCTCTGAAAAAAACATTAAGGATTCAAAATTGGGGAAAAATTCGATATTTTATGATAAGAATCAGGATGTTGTTCAAGCAAATGTTGGTGGTTATGATGGAGGAAGCGTGTCTCACGATCGAAAAGAAACACCCGCCTCTGAAGTTTTAATTCCCGCTTATAGGCTTAGAGGAAACCGATCATACCCTTCTGTTACTGAGGAATCAAAACCAAGATTAGTCGAGGCGCGTTCTAAAAAACTTCCAAAGATCGTTCAGTCGACCCAAGATGATGCTATAGTGGTGATTTCTCCACCTAAGATATCAGAGCTCAGCAAGCCGGAAGTGGTGATCACACCACTTCAAAGTGATGTTGAGGTTGGAATTAATAATAACGTGAATGTAGCCGAGGAGGCTGCATCTTCTTTTCAGTCTACCGGCAAGAAAGGACCCGCGCGTAGGCTAGGAAGGCCTCCTAAATCACAAGGAGCTCAACAAAAATCGACAAAAAGGACATGGACTTGGCAGAAAAAGAAAAAAGACTTGAGAACGATTTTGTGTAAACTATTGGACTCCTTTAATAAGTGAGTGCACAATTAATCCTTGGGTAATAATTTATTTGACTTATGACCTTATAAAATGCAGGAAAGATGCATATGGTTTCTTTGCGGAACCGGTGGATACCACTGTTGTCACGGATTATCTCACGATCATTCAAAATCCGATGGACTTTGGAACCATGCGAAAGAAAATTGATTGCAACAAATACGCATCTATCGACGAATTTAAGGTCTCTTCTTATTTACTGGTTTTAAAAAATGTTACTTTTTTTCAATATTAACCATCACTTTTTCCTTCGTCCGCGCGCAGGGTGACTTCTCCCTAGTTTGTAACAACTGTAAAACCTATAATGCACCTGATACCATATATTACAAGAGTGCTGATAAGCTGTGGCAATTTGGCGAAAAGGCCATTGAACGCGAAAGAGACAGTATTCTGTTAGAAGAAGAAAAGCAAAAGGCATCAGAGGCTGCCGATACCGGTAGTAAAAAAGTATGTTTAAATTTATGTCCCTAAGTTTCTGCTCTATTTCGAACCACCTGACCGGTAGTTTTATCCTTGATTAGGATGCCATGTACGGCTCAACCCCTAGTCGAGGTAATGTGTTTATTGTTTGTTGGCTTTCGTTGGCGGCGAATAAACAATATTTCAAATGGATATTTAGCGTCCTCTGTTCGACAACCTCGGAGATCCAAAAAAGTTGATCCACGCAAACTATTTTATCCGGATGGTTCGGTCATTCCATGTAAGTTACTAGACGAGCTTTGTATTATTTTACCATTATTCTTATGCTTTACAAAAAACCTCTTTATTTTGGTGACAACTAATAGTTGGCGATCCATCTTCTTTGATCCCAAGACCCCCCTCATTTGGTGAAACTCCTCTTCTTACAGTCATATCGTCGAAAGCTCAGCGTCCAGGTAACAATAAAATTATTTTTTTTTTAGGTTATCTGTTTCTTTTCTAAAGTCTGAGATATTGATTTTCTATTACTAGCCCGTTTCGAAGATTATGGCCCATATGCGACACTGGGTATTGATCCTCCATTTTTTACCGCCACAGATAAAAATTTTCTTTACAGCACTTATGGTGATGAGAAGGGCTATGCATATGCGAAAAGCATCAAGTCCTTCGTTGAAGATATGGGTGATGAAATGAATCAACAAGTCGATCATTTCCTGGATAAACTAACTCGTGGAGCTCATTCTATAGATCAACAAGTAGCAAGAATGATGTCTACTACCGATAATAATACTTCCTTTGACACCTCGGTAGTAACACCAACGGAACTTGGTCCGGTTAATGTAGGTCAGGAGCTTAACCGAATTCGAAAGATTTCTGAACTTAGGAGACAACAGTCCGAATTGGAGATATGGAAGAAGACAAAAATAGATGTTGATTTTCTGGTTAGCGATCAAGAGGTGCACACCACAATACAGAATATGGGAAACGGCCAACACAACCTTCAAGAGATATTTGATCTTAATTCAAAAGATTTGGCTGAGTTGATTAACATAAAACAATCTGGACAATCGAAGTCCAACAAAACGGAAGAACAGATTAGTACGTAGCAAATATAATCCGTTTTTGTGCTTTTTCAAATTTGCATGAATTTTAATGAAGTTCCATATCTCTATAGCCGAAGACCTTAACAAACGCTTTATTCAACTGGTTCAACATGCGCCAGAGTCGGAAAAAATATCTCGTACAATTACTGCGTCACAATCACTATTGGTAAATAGTATGTCGAATCAACAACCTTTTTCTCTGGGGAACTTGCCGACACCTACCTCCCTTCAGCAACTCAATTTATCCCAGATAAATACTTCAAGCCATATATTTACTGGTGTTGATCACACCGATCCCATCAGCGCGTTGGCACCTTCCTCAATGTTGCATGAGGGTAATATACCTGGTGGATCTTTTCGTCCCCGTACAAAGCCATGCAATTATAATCCAGGTACGTATGCGAATATATTTATTTCACTTTTAAAACTTTAATAAACTTATTGCTATCACTATTACTACAGCCGGTAAGTGTGCCAATTGTCAGACGACTGACACACCTGGGTGGAGAGCAGGTGAGACGCCTGATCAAAAATTATGCAATGGTAAGGTTTTTCTACTGATATAAATGAGCAATCATTCGAGTTAAATATTTACGATTGGTTCTCTTTTTTAGCATGCGGTTTGTATTACTCGAAAAACAAGTCGCATCGTCCTTCAAATTTGTGGAATACCCGTTAGGCTTCCATGCAATTTGCAACATTACATGAATTGCATTGTTTCTTGTGTGAAGTTGATTTTGTTTGTGATCCAGACAACATTCTTGAATTTTAGTTGATCATTGCATAATAGAATCAGAATTGTACATAAAAAGTTTTAAAATCATAAATGACATGAGTGAAAAATATTAACTATAATACCAAATTCTTTAACAAATAAGGAATTTGTATTTTTATAAAAACTTATTAATTGTATATAATTTAATAAAGCTAATTTAAATTAAACGTATCAATATTAAAAATATATTTTTATAAGCTTAAGAATATAAAAAATATCAATTGATACAAATTAAAAACTATAAAAAAAATAATAATTTGATATTTATTTCTACAATTAGTAATTAGAAACATTTAAAAGTATATTTCATCTACAGTATATAATAATTAATATTAAAATACAGTATATTAAATACTTTTTAAATTAAAGATTAATTATTTCTTTTTATTATAAATTTACTAATTTATTTATTTGTAACTGAAAAAAATAATAATTTGTTTTATATAAATTTAATTTAATTTTTTTTTTTTAATTCACAATCAAATTAATATAACTTGTTTTCATTATAAATAGTATATCCTATATATTTATAGATTGATATAACTGATTACTTTTAAAATTTTAAGTTTACTTACTATATTTTTATTATATATTTCAATTTTATCAATTTTTAGATCTTTAATTATATAATCAAAAATTATAAAGTATATATATATACTATAGTTCACAAAATTCTTGTATCATCTATTAATTTTTTATTAATAAATATATATAAAAATCAAAAATTTTAAAATAATTAAAATTAAAATTTTTGTTTTATATTTATGTGCTTTAATAATATTATTTATAATTAAAAAAATGTTTTAGAAATATTTGTCTCAAAAGCTTAAATCCCTTAATAAAATTTTTTATGATATCAAAAAATCAAATAATAAGTAATATGAATTGCAAATTCTTAATTTTTCCTTAAGCTTCCCAAGTAATAATAAAACTTTAATGGATAAAAGTTGAGATCTGAATACTTTTTTTGAGATATTTTAATATAGTACTCATTTAAATAAAAAATCAATTGAATTAATTGTCATATCAAATATAATACTGTAAATAATAACAAAAAAGATTTTTTTAAAGATTCAAGAGAAGTAAAAAGACTATTTCAATTAAATAAATCTCTTTTAAGAAGAAAATTGTTTTCTTTTTAGACCTTTTTGATAAAATCTTAAATTCTTTTTTTTTCAATTTATTATTTTTCTTTTTTTTTAATTTAGCAATTTATAGTTTATAGATAATTTATAGTGACAAACTATTGATAATTAATTTAGTAAATAGAAGTTATTTATCAATTTTCTAGAAAAGTAAAATATTATTTTCTAAATCTGACTTAAAATATTTCAGTGCAATTATGCATTAATTATTATATGAAAAATCTATAATATTATAAATAGTTATATAAGTTTTCAATAAAGATTCAACTATATATTATTATTGTGAATTAAAAAAAAAGAAAAAATAATAATAATTTAAGATTAGTTTTTGTTTTTTTATTAATTATATTTTTTAATTTTTTAATTTTTTTTTTTTTTAATGGGCTCATACCTAACTTTATTGAATCCCCAAATTACAAGTTTACATTATGTAAAGAGTGAATACATGAATGTATATTTGGAAAGATAATGATAATGATAAGTTAAAGATATTCTAAAGCTATTTTGAGGCTTATTACTCTTTCTTTTTCCAAAGAAAACCAGCATCCCTAGAGCATGCTGATGTCATAAAATGAAAATAAAAGAAATAAAAGAAAAAATTGAACAGTCATGTAAAATGTATCGGTCTTGTTTCTTGGTACATGACTGTCTTGTTCAAATTTCCTTCATGGAAGGTCTAGGGGAAAACTTCTACTGATTTATTTACAGAAATAAGATAGAGGCCAAAGAGGAGACTGTACAGTTTTAAGGCTTATGGGGAGGGAGTAGCCAAGAAGGTCCAGGTGATATATTGGTATCCACATAATCGATTTGAAAGTCTTCCAGTATATTGTCAATTAAACCCATTCCTATTTAAATATGGGTATACTTACCTATCTGTGCATCTTATTTCAGATTTAATTTCTTATATGAAGGACAGCACCTAGTCTTGTGGTTGACATACCTTGCTAGTGGCTGTTGATACTAATGATTAATGAGGATCTTCCAGACATTCCGGCCGGTTTGCACGTCATTGCTGACATTTTTGGACTTGAGTTTCAATTGGTGTAGTAGAATTAACCTTCCAGTCTTCCAGCTCAGGATTTTTTGAAGATAGGATGAAAACTTCCTGGATTATTTTGCATATAAGCTTTATCACTGAGTATCTTTAATGGCTCTATACTTTCTCTAATTTAGACTTTCTGGGTAATAGAGATTAGAACCTACTTGACATACAATCAGGATATAGGCGGCTCTGACTTGAGAAAAGATCAATTGAGTGACTTGTGACCTTTACCATGGTTAGACAGACTCTTTCTTGTATTCAATGATGTGTCAGTACCATGTTCTGTATCCACCTGCATCAGACAAAATGACTTATGATAGACTCCAGATTCTTATGGAGCTGAGAAAATGCATTCAGACACGTGAGGTGGCCAATAGAAGCTTGTTTATCAATCTTGTCCAATGTGTTTCATATCGACCAATCAGAGTTAGTGAATCTGTGCTACCTGAAATTTCAGAGTCAAACTGAGGTAGGCAAAATTCTTCAGAAAGCCATGAAAAAGATAGCTTTGAAAGATCACAACACCAGTCAAAGGGTGAAAAATTAAATTCTTTAATTGGTTTTAATCTCTATTATCTTCACCATAACTAAGAGGTGGAAGGTATTTCACTATTGGTCCTTTTCCCTTTAGGAACTTTCTTACCATAGGTAGTAAAGGTGGAAGCTGAACTTTGCAAGCTATAGAGTTCAGTTTGTTCAAAGAAAATTGTAGACAAGAGGGAAGAAATGGTGAGAGAGTTTTGAAAGAACTTTTTGGGTTGGTTTAAAGAAAGTAATAAGACTTTATTAATATAGAAGTATTAAAACTTCTTGTGAACATCTTTTTTGTGTGAGGTTAGAGGATCAACAGAAAGAGTTGTTATATTTATTAAAATAAATAAATTAGAAAAATAAGTAAATAGTAAAATAGGTATATTGAAAAAAGAAAAAGACAAATAAGTAGTAATATCAATTATAATAAAAATAATAATATAGATATATTCAATTTGAGATTTATAGATCAATAGTATAGTAATTAGTATTTTATAGATCTGAACACAAAATCTTAAGTTAAATCCTTTAGGAAACAAAATTCTAATACTGATAATAATCTATATTTATTGGTCTATATATAACTGATGTTTTTAAATATAGCTATTACAAATTAGATTTTTAATAGTTCTTATTACTTACTATTATAAATCAATAAGATCTACAAAAATATAAAATGGTTTATATAAAGTTTGTTCTTAAATTACTATTCAAAATCAAATAAAATTATTTTTAATAGGACTGTATTATTACTTACTGATAATAAGAAGAGTAAATCTCTAAACTAGTTATATGATTAAAGATCTCTAAAAATTACTAAAAAGATAATCTCTAAATCAAATTCTAAAACTTCAACATATAACTATGTTTGACTCATAAACTTAACAATTAAAAAGCCTTAATAAGAGAAGAAATCTACTGATTACTCTAAAAAACTAAAATTTGAATCCAAAATAAAGAAAATTTGATAGTCTAATAATTAGACTACTTTTAATAAAAATTAATTTGAAAATAATTAAGAAAAAATATATAGTTTTCTAATAAGATAATATTTATATATAGTTAGAAAATATATAGATAGTTACTTATATATATAAATTACTAATATAGATAGATATATAAGTTTTTGTTAATATATATTAACAATTTGTATATAAAGAGTAATATAAGTATCGGTGATAAAACAAATGTCTTATATAAAATATATAAAATATATTATTAATAAAAATTATAGCAATGAGTTTATAGAACAATATATAATAAATAGCACAAATAACTTTTATATTCTTAAAATTTATTTTAGTACTAGTCTATTCTTGATAAGTTACCTCCTATTTGAGAAGTGACAACAAGTCACAAGGTGAATATTTTCAAAAAGAATATATTTATACTGAGTTTTATTTGATAGTAAATTAGTAATATATCTTAAAAAAATCTCTATATAATAATACTGTATAAATATAAATAAAACATGATTGAGCCAAAAAAAATTTTTTTTAAAAAAATTCTTTTCACTAATTCTCTAACTACATACAAAAAAGATGTTTGCAAGAAGTTTTTTGCTTCTTTGCTAAAAAGTCTTTAATACTTTCTTTAAAACACCTTGAAAACTGACTTCAAGAGTTATTTCTACTCCTCCTTTACTTGTTTACAATTCTTTTTGATCAAAAATTTGACTTCTGATGATCAAGAATTAGTCAAGTAACATCTTTGATATCAATGGCAAGAAAGTTCCTAAAGAAAAAAAAACCAATAGTAAAATACATAAAGGCTTTCTTCATTTTTGAAACGAGAGGTATATAGAGATTTTTGATGACAAAAGGGTTTATTTTTTTCCTTCCAGTTACTGTTGAGTTTCTTAGAGTTATTGTTATCATATTTTTCTGGGGAA